AACAACACTTAAGTAATAATTTAACTGGTATTAATTCACACACAGACTCCCATCCCGGGTATCTGCAGGTTTAAGGAAGCCAAATTTAAGACTTTTAAGACCTTTTTACGGCCACTTTGACCAAATTTAAGCTTTTTTTTTTAATTAAATTTAAGCTATGATTTCCAGCTATTGCCTGTGTGACAGTGTGAGCGTCCTGTCACAGTGTCCTGATTGATCATGCGCCCTGGCTACTTGGCCAAGGGGATGTCCCTTTGGCTTTCTGGTTAGAGCGTATAACTCTCACCCGGGAGTCTGGGGATCGAATCCCGCCCGGGCCCTCATTTATCCACCTTGCCACACCTGGAACACACCTGGAACGTTGCAAACGTGGGATTAGCCATCCAGTTACCATTAAACTTGCACTTTCCCATGGCACAAGCTCCCACTAGCTTAAACAACTAATGTGCTCATCTAAAAATAGCCCCCTTTCACTGAATGTAAACGGTTCCGCTTATGCCAATATCATACACAAAAAAAGCTGAACTAGAAATTCACGAAATTTTTATAGAGATAAAAGAATCTTGTTTACTGGGTCTTTGGTAATTTAAGACCTTTGGAAACTGTATTTCAGGATTATTTTTCGTTTTTTTTAAGGCCTTAAATTTGGAAAAGCAAATTTAAGACTTTTTAAGGACCCGCGAATACCCTGCCATCTGTATAATCGAAGCCAATGGGTTTTTTCGTTCTGGTTGTGAGATGGGCGGAGCGGTGAGCTCCACGCTGTTGATGGGACGGGCATGCCTGGTTCTTTCTCCTAGAACTGTGAGCTGCAGCTGCGCGCGGCGCCAAAATGACATGCTTCATTTAGAAATGCATCTGCGTCGCGGTCGCCAGCCGATGTTGACGTAGCTTCAGTCCTGAATGTTTTTCTTTTGTTTTCACTCATCAGCCACAGATCCTCACTCACAGCAAGCTGGGCTTCCTACCGTGGTGACTCCCTCACATGTTTCCTCTCCTACATTAGTTGGTGATGCGGTGAATTAAAACATTAGTAATCCTAATATTTTAATTCACCGCTTCACCCGTGTGTTTTTCCTGTTTGTAAGACGAACCCTCCTCCATAACCAGGTTACTGGTACGGAAGCTTGGAAAGGCCAAAATTCCTCAAACATTTTTTTTTTCCCTACTGGCTGAATATGAATGAATAAAATATAATAGAGTAAATTTTATTAGTCCCACAGTGGGCACATCCACTCATTACAGCAGCACACACACTTAGAGACACAGATTACAAGTAAAACTGATTCCAGCCATGTTTGCTTTGATAACTTCCATACCTTCATGCTGATGACCCGCATGAACATAATCCTGTTTAGTGGATGCAACTACATCATGAAGTTAGCCCAACATGATAGATTTTTTTTCTTGGCAGGAAATAATAACTGGTAATATTATGAATGACATGATATTGCCCATCCCTAGATGGAATTTAAAACATTTACATTAATTATAATTAAAAGTTCCTGTGTGACATGCAGCTGCAACTCTTTACTGCTAACCTGATGGACGGACAGACAATGTGAAGAAGTTCGGGAGAGTTGGATGTTAAATTTTCCTCACGAAAAGAAAATTTGTATTAAACAAAGGTCAGTTCCCTCTGTAAAGTCAGAGGTACGGAAGAGGATTAGGGCCACTGAAAAGAAAAGAAAAGAAAAGAAAAGAAAGAGAATTCTGACTTTTTTTCCCTGAATTCCCTGTCAGAATTCCAAGATTAACAGTCATAATTTTGAGGAAAATGTAAGAATTCTCTTTCTTTTCTCTTCTTTTTCTTGTCAGTGGCTCTAATCCTCTTCCATACAGAGTAGAAATAAATAAATAAAATGTAGAGCACAAAAAGCCTCAGTATTAATCCCCCCCCCCCCCCCCCCCCCACCCACCCAAACGGTCGGCAAATTGTCCGCTCCCAACCCCCATGACCCCGTCTCACTCGTAGAAATGTTCAGAAGTTGGCAGCCCTGCCAGTTTAGCCAGTGTCCTTTCCCTGCAGGTCCAGTTTGTCTTAGAACACAACAACAACAACAATAATACTTCAAAGTGCCCACTTCTGTATTCAGTTTTCATCCCATCCTTGAATTATGCACTTATTAATTATTCCACTCAGCTGATCTCTGCAACAATGTGTTGCAGGTGCATGTTGGTAATCAGTCAGCTAAATGAGAACTCTTCAGCCTCCATGACCAAGCAGAACCACGCATCAAAGCAATCACAGATACAATATGGCTGACCTTGAGCCAAAATGGTACCAAGCTCACTTTTCCACCATCTCAAATGAACTATTATGTTCACCCAAGTGTGAATGTATGGCCGACCTCGTTATGATTATTGCTTCATCTGCTGAGATGTCATTCATTATCCGTGGAACAGAGTCGTGTCGGATGAAAGATGACGGCCGGTGCATCAAGAAGTGTGGCTCTCTCCACCATCGCACACCCTGTGAGGTCACTTCAGGTCTGCTGACTAAGCAGAGATGTCTTTATAGGATGTAAGCTGACCTCAGGTTCACCAGGTCGCTCTGGCCAGGTGTCACAAAGAGCTGGATCGCCTCATGGAGAATTCTCAGCCTCCCGGCTAAACACTGCTAGGCTCTTCAAACAAACCGCAAAAGCCTGGGTTAAGAAAGAAAAAACAAGACTCTCTCTCTCTCTCTCTCTCTCTGAGCAGAATGGAAGCTGAGGTAGAGACACTACATCGCTGTAATTAAGGAGTCGAGAGGGGGAAGTAGGGTCGATGAAGAGAGGAATGCAGAAAGCAAATGGAAGCCTTTGAGAGGAAGGAGTTATTCAGAGGATGTCTTTTATTCAGCAATCCTGAGGCATCCAGATCAGCTCTGGTGGCTTAGCCTCCTCATTAACAGCTTTAGATTTAATTAGCAGTCATTAAGCTTCTGTTTTACTGGAGGAGCTTACAAATATTTAATCACTGTTTGGGTAATGTACCATGTGTACTGTTGTTGATATGAATGCAAGGGAGGATTGATGCCTCAGAAACCCAGATTTTTTTTTCATTTCCTCTGTAACACATCTGTAACCGGTCTGACGGAGCGCCGATCACGGCTGGGATATGAGACAACAAACGTTACAGCTTTTGTTTAATGGGATAATAGGAATGTGCTGCATTACAAATGAATGAAAACATCATAAAAATTCTATTGATTAGTTCTCATCAGAATTTAAAGTGTAATCGTAGAATGTCAGAGGTGGTTGCAGTTCATATTTTCAGCTAGATCTGCACATCAGACATGTTTTTTTCTGCCCTCCACCTCTGTGCCCAACTAGGGTACACATCTTCAGCCCCCTCCTGCAAACTCTAGTCTCCCATGGTTGTTCTGAACGAGATCCTGGTAATCGTGTTAAGTAGTTTGCAGATGACACTGCTGTTGTTGGATGCAGGAGAGAAAAATTAAAAGGTGTTTCACTTCGCTCCTTTATCCTTTAATCATTGGTGGCGAAACCATGGAGCTTGAAAACAGTTACATACTTTGGCCCGCACATGACCTCTGACCTTTTACATGGGATAAGCTTATCCCATGTAAATAAGCTCTGATAAGAAGCATCAAATAGTGGATGTACAGTGCTCGGCATAAATGAGTAAACCCCACTACATTAGTCAGAAAACCTTTAGTTTGCTTTAAGAATCAACATTTTCTATGATATACCACAGTACTAAATACTCCCACAGACGTGGGCCATTGATTGCAATCAAGATTTGTTAATTTACACACAAAAGTGATTTTCCTAACAAATCCATTCAAGCCCTTGTTGCAAAAATGAGTACACCTCAACTGTAGGCTTGAGAGAAAAGCCACAAAATAAAATAAAAGCCCTTCACATTTCACGCTGTCCCATGCACTTGGTCGTCGTGCACTTTTCCAACATGACAATGATCCAGAACACACACATCTAAAGCTACTGCTGCATTTCTGAAGCAGAGCTGGGTGAAGGTGACTGAATGATCAAGTATGTCTCCTTATCTGAACCCAATCCAACACCTGTGGGGAATTCTGAAGCAGCAAGTTAAGCAGCACTCTCCATCCAGCATCCAGGCTCTAAAAGAGCTTCCTCTAGAAGAATGGAAACAGATAGATGTTGCAATATGTCGCCAACTTGTTTATTCCATGCCAGAAGACTTGGTGCTGTCCTTGAAAATCACAGTGGTCATACAAATTACTAGATGTAGTAGTTTTTGTTGTTGGGTGGATTCATTTGTGCTTCAACCAAATTTTGCAAAACTGAAGATTTTTGATCAAAGTTGAATTATTAATAAGGATGCACGATATATTGACATCAATATCGGTATCGGCCGATGTTAGTCATTTTTTAACATATCGGTATCGGTCTGATAAATAAAACCGGGCCGATATTAACAACCGATATTTGTTCCATCGTGTTTCCATTTGTGCATCTGTTTCTGAGGGTGAGGGGGGTGATGTGTTTTTGTTTAGTCATGTGACAGTGATTGTAATCATCTCAGAAGTGTAAATGTGTGTGGTGTGTACATAATAACATACATCCAGCTTTAATGGTTTTCATTTTATACAAATTCTGCTGATTTTAGAAGCATTAATGTCAGTTTATCAGCATCGGCAAATATTATCGGCCTTAACGGTGATATTAATATCTGTATCGGCCCCAAAAGTTTAGATTGGTGCCTCACTAATTATTCACCTTAATTTCATGCTATGGAGTTAAACAAGTGTTCAATAAAACCAGCCTTGTGAAAATTCAGGAAATTGTTCTTTTGTTCCTTGAACTCCTGATTAAAGTCATATTTTTTAATGGGGGTGAACTCATTTATGCGTAGCACTGTATCCGCTTAGAAAGTGACCAGCTGCAGCCTTATTTCTCTTGGCGACATTAACAAACTGCACCCTCCTTCCTTCAGGCAGAAAGCTGAGCGGCACTTTAAAAGTTAAATGAGTCCTGCTAATATTTGTCGCTGCATCTTTACTTTTTGTGTAGGCTTTGCTTGGAGGCGAGGGACCCCTACTGTGGTTGGGATTTCAGGCAGCGCACATGCACCACGCTGGAGGAAAGCTCCAACATGAGCCAGTGGAAGCAGAACATCACCATCTGTCCAGTAAGCATGACATCATCACTGCAGAACAGACACTACAGCTCCTCTGAGTTTACAGGAATAATAAACTGGTCCTCGTGTGTTAGACGCATGATGTTGTTGTCTGGATTGCGAGGGTTTCTTTTTCCTTCTTTTCATTTTTAAAGCGCTCAAATTATTTTCTTTTTCTCATTGATTTATTTATGCATTAATTCATTAGTTCATCAGGTCCTCATCAACATCTACACTGATAAGCCGACCTTCCGATGAGTGTTCTTCATGAGGAGATTTAGGTGTTTAGACTGGGTGTTTTATGCGACAGTTTCACCAGTTTCAACCACATTTCTATGACCTGACATCAATCTGATTTTCATCATCTGTAACAAGTGATTGCTCCTATATCCATACATAGTTTACTAAGACCATTCCTGTAAGTACTGCTGCGCAGCATGGGCGATCGGTTGTTTTTATCTGCTGCTCTGAGGCTCTGGATCGCCCGCCCAGACCACCTGAGGCCCCCACAACGAAACCTTGAAACAAATTTTTTTTTCAGAAAATCTTTTTGCTTAATGGATTTAATAAGCTCTCCTTTCACTTACTTTTAATGATATATTAACCTTTATTACCTTTAATAACCTTTATTTTTATACTGTTTATCTGTAGCACTTTGAGATTTTTTAATTATAAAGTACACAAAAAGTATTATTATTATAATTATTATTATTATTATTGATGCATTCATTGGTTTTGCACTTACATCCCACTCCTGCATCCTGCACTAGCCCCATCTGCAGCAGCAGCTTCACACAAAGCACAAGCAGAAGGTTATTGATACACAGTCACAGTGACATTCGATTTGCTGTCCAGCTTCGTAACCAGACCATCAACGGTGTGTTTGGACCCTGGTCACCATGGCAACCCTGCAACAACGAAGACCCTCTGGATGGTGTGAGCTCTTGCTTGTGCCGCTCCAGGTCCTGTGACAGTCCGGCCCCGCGGTGTGGAGGAAAAACCTGTGAAGGCCCCATGATTGAAGTGTCTAACTGTTCAAGGTGGGATGTGGTAGAATGGTATTTATTATGTTAAATGATATGAATTTAGATTTTTAGGAGCTGATTTCACAAAAATTATTGTTAAAATAGATTTTTGTTATGAAGAAACCCAAAAATATCCTCAGATTATTCTGAAAAAAGTCCTAATAAAATCCCTCTTACTGAGATCTTACCTCTTTAAACTTTCAGACATTATTAAATTAATTCTATACGAGTCTATAGTAGTACATAATAGTGCACAGAACACATATAGCATTACTGAAAATAGAGTCACACATATTGATCTAGTTTGAGGTCTGAGCTTGTTTCCCAGCAACTAGATGGACCCATCAAAGGATGACATGTTAGGCTTTCATGAATTAGGCAAGTCGATAACCTTAATAAAGACAACCTGATGACCCAGCCGGGCGGTATTTGTGCTTTAAAGTTTGTTTTAGGATCAGGACTTCCTGACTTTTACTTCATTTTTGTTTCAGCTTTGTTCAAAGTGACTGAAGAATTCACCTCAGGGAGCAATTTATGCTCTGAGTTCACAGAGGAGCGATAGTGAAAGAGGGGAATCTAACTAGAAAACTAAGGTGGCATCAGGTTAGTCATAGTGACATTTGCCATTTCCTGTGTCTTCAGGGGGATGAGCCAATCAGGAAACAAAGACACAGAGTTTAAGCACCTTCACTCTCCAGGATAGCTATGCCAGATTTAATCCTTGGTGTTACAATTGAATTGTGCTTTTGTAGAAAGTGGCAATTAAATCATGAGGAGAGCAGTGCAGGAACAAAGCACTTAAGCAAATTGAATGAATGTTTCCCCGTCACAGAGAGCTCTCTTTGTGTCTTTTCATTTCTTCATTCAGAAGTTCAGAATTAGAGGACTAATTGGATGGCTTCAACTAAAAGGCTTCATCTCTGGCTCTTTTTTGAAGAATGCTAAATAACTGATGAATAATTCAGATTCTGAACAACTGTGACATCCGTTTGTTACCATAGAAATGGTGGCTGGACACCCTGGTCGTCCTGGGGACAGTGCAGCACAACATGTGGGACAGGCTTTGAGCTGCGTCAGCGTTCCTGTAACAACCCGTCGCCTCGACACGGGGGCCGTGTGTGTGTGGGGCCGAGCAGGGACGAACGGTGAGAGCCAACACACACACAAACCAGACTCATGATCCAATCTACTGGGAAAAGATGAGCTTTAAAAGAGGATTATTTTGAAATGGATTGTTAAGGGACTTGTGATCTAGATTTCCCTTCTGTTTGTTTTGCAACTTGTTTTAGATTTCTGGTCCAACATTTTATACACCAACACCAACACACCAACAGTTTTCGAGGGTAACTAAGTAGCATTTCTGTCTCACTCAGCTCCAATTAACTTTCCCAACATCTCATCAGATTCTGCAACGAGGGCGTATCATGTCCTCAACCTATCTTCTGGACCCCATGGGGCTCATGGACAAAGTGTAGCACAGAGTGTGGCGGAGGCGTCCACTCCAGGATCCGAAACTGTGAGAACGGCAACACATGTCCAGGATGTGCACTGGTAGGACACACACACACACACACACACACACACACACACATGCATGCATGCACGCACACACCACTTTGACAGGGAAAGTGCAGCTGAGATAAATTATTGTCCCAGTCCGTCCCTGACACTCACCCAGAGCCAGTGGAGCTCAATGAACAGAGGGGTGACGTGTGCTCTTTTTGGCTGATTGAAGACCAGACGCGCCACTGCGTTCTGGACCATTTGAAGAGGTCTCACAGTACAGCCTGGAAGACCAGTTAGAAGGGCATTGCAGTAATCGAGGAGGGAGATGACAGTAGATTGCACCAGGAGCTGGGTGGTATGTTGTGTTAGGTATGGTCTGATCTTTCATAGACTAGATAAAACAGAAAACACTTCCGAACTCCCCACTGGCTACTCTGTGAGACCGGGTGTTAGTGTTTACAGTCCAGAGGAGGAGGGATCTGGATTTAGCACTACTGTGGTGGGGAGGAGTGGGGCATGATGAAGGAAACTGACCCCATCTAGCCATTTGCAACAGCTTAACAGAGCTGAAGAGAAGCTGCACTTCAAACAGGAGAAAACATGTGAAAGCTTCCACTTTGGGGGTGTTATACATGAGGAAATAACAATATAATGATGTCAAATGCTCTAAAATGTGAATTTTGCATGATATGCTGTAAAACGTTTAAATCATGATGATCACATTTTGGTTCAGGAGTACAAAGCCTGCAACCTGGAAGCGTGTCCAGAGGTGAAGAGGAACACACCCTGGACCCCCTGGATGCCTGTTAACGTAACACAGGGTGGCGCTCGTCAAGAGCAGAGGATGCGATATATGTGCCGGGCCCATCTGCCGGATCCCCATGAGCTGCAGATCGGACGGAGGAAAGTGGAGACGCGTTTCTGTCCAAATGATGGGACCGTGGTCTGTGAGACGGATAGTAAGTACAGCTGCTGACAGATGAACTTTTATTGTAGTTTTGTTTGTATCATACTATTCAGAATGTAACAGGTGAATATTTATATATTAAGCTTTAAATCATAATTAAAACATACTTTAACATAGGTATTTAAATTAATATTTATTATTTATTTGATGTAGAAATATAAATTTAAACCTGACAATTAGAAACTAAATATTTAGCTGACAGTAGCCTAACAAAATAAAAGCATGGTGAAGAAATATTTTTTATATTACCTAACTATGGTAATATGGTGGATTTTAATTCAAATACAAATCAATCTTTAATGAAAATTTAAATTAGCAGAGAGGACCCCGACAGAAAGATTGATAAAGGATTTCTGATTAACTTTATTAAATCGTACCATTAACAGAACTTAGCCTTATTTAGTGTATCCCTCTTTTATTGAGGTCATAAATATTTATGTCGCTGCTGTCTGAAGCTAATTGTTTATATTACAACAATCAGGCTACATGACAGAAGACACATACTTTTTCAAAATTCATATGTCACCTTCCATTTAAACTTTATTTAAAATGTGTATCTTCACCATTATTATTTAGATTTATCTGTAAAGGTTCAACCCTTTAATAGATGAAAATGTTGCTGTTAGAATTCAATATATGGTCAAACTAAAGGTTTTTGTCACGTTTCTAACGCTGGCTGCAAATCCAAGACGAACACCTGGTCGGTTTCAAATCCAGACCATTCTTCAGCTCAGGTATGGATCATGGTGATAGACGTATTAAGAAACAACATTCTACGGTATTGGAATTGACAAGTAAGGTCATTACTGCAGCCACTCAGCATCACCAGAACGCAGCGAGAGAGTTTGTGTTCATCCAGTCACGACCGACGTGAAGCTCGCCGTGTTTCACATTAATAACCTTTAGTGGAGCTGTTGTAGGAAAGTAGCTGGACTGGATGCCTCAGTCTAAATATTGGATTGTATTTTGTTGCAGATGCGATCAGTGGTGCATTGCCTGCCACTCTACAATTCATTGACTTTTCTATATTTCTTTTCACCAAGTAGATGATAACATCAGCTTCATGAATTCATGATATCTTTCTTTGGGCTCTCTGAGGCCTTTAATTGTGCAGAAATCAAAGACTTATGCGAAGCTTTGCAATAACCCTCAGGAGTTTTTAGAAATGAGGAGAGTAAATGGTGTTAATGTCTAAGATGATTAGTGTTCAAACAGCTCAATGCTTTCTGGGTTTCTGGTATAGAAATAGGCCGACCTTTACCAGATGATTTACCTTGACTCTCAGTGTAGACTAGCATTTTTGACCAACGTGGATGTGGTATTGACTTGTTGAGGTGGTTTATTTAATTTGGCAAAATTAAAAATAAGTTGGAGTTTGAGTTACACTTCACATGACTGAGAATCTTCACCAGCATACAAACAAAAGGAATACAGTAAATGTTCGGATGTTAAATCTCAATAAAAAACAATACTCTACTTTTAAATAGTGATTCATTTTCACAACATAAAATATCGCAATCTGAGATAATTCTGACAGAAAACAAATCACCCAGATTTTCCCACAGCTTCTATTTAAAGGGACATTATGGAAGTTTGACAGCCAAAACATGTATAGAAATAATAAATGTCTTCTTCATACATTCTCCTGCAATGCCCTGGTCCTGTAGAATGAGCCCTGGCATTTTTACTGTGATTGCCTGTTTTTCTGTAAAATCACAGAAAAAGAGAGCTGCTCGGGTCGAGCAGGCTGCTTCATGCGCGTTCACGCTCAGGCATAGCCCGTAGCATTTGCTATCAGTAGCTTTAGCAGCAGAGAGAGGTAGTGCCACTTTGTCGCTGTTCCTAACGCCTAGTGACAAACCTAGCTACATTTCTGAGGACCCTTAGCTACTTTCTGTAGAACTTTCTTCTAGATATTTCCTGCAAATTAGCAACAAAATAGCCATTTTCACTCTGAAACGTTCTTTGGTTTGACGTTACTGTGAATGTTACTAGAGTGTAGCTCACCTTGTAAAGCCTGATTCATGCTTCTCCATCAGCTCCGCAAGGGACAGACATGCACGGATTGACGGAAGCGTTTTGCTCTCATACTTCTCCGTCTCCTGGAGAGTGTTGCAAAGCAATTGCCCGGCAGGACAACAGAGGGTGTAGCGCTGTTCTGTGGTATCCTGTCATGTATCGGTCCAAGATAGTGTGTTTATATTGTGTTTTTTGTGTATATAAGAGACTTTTAACACGGACATATTTGTCTCTCATTCTCTCACCGCTTCATGCGCTCCCTACCTCTAAACCCACGTTTCCTGTCATTTCCGTCCACAAATAAAACGCTTGTTGCGCATCTTTTCACTCATCCAGTCACGGGGGAACTAAACGTTCATGTTTTAGAGTTTTTTCGCGAGGTATTCTTCAAGCTTCTCCGTGTCTGCCGCTAGTTATCCTCGGCTCTCTTTGCAATGGCGGCGCTGTAAACAACAGCGGCGTCCTGACCAATCACAAGCTTGCGTAATCCATCTCGTTCGACGAATGTTTAAAAAAGTGGGCTCGACTCCGTACGTACTTGCGTGCCTGCCGGAGCCCTACGCAAGGACGGATAATGGTGTTGCGTGTCTCCGCACTGACGCAGACGGAGAAGCATAAATCAGGCTTTAGATGTCTGACTCCCATGCAGAAGACGATGGAGGATGGAGACGAGTGCCATTCAGGAAGCAGAAGTCAAGTTAGTGTCTGAAAACACAGACGTTAGTGAGTCAGTAGCTCGATAAATGGCTCTGGAAAAGAGTACTCTGACTAAATAATGCTGTAGTTAAGCATTCTGTGTACATCATTGTATAAGTATCACAGGAACTGATGACCTGCAGAAGCATCATGTGGTACGTTGAATTTCTCCTCAGCTGCTAAATGCATCTGGTACGTCCTGAACATCTCCTGAGATGACTTTGGTCTGACAAATTACCATAAACACCAGCCAGTGTGTAATTGCAGCTGGTGATTTTAATCCAGCAGACCTCAGGGCGGTTTGGCCTTACCTCCATCAGCATGCTATCATCCTCTGTCTGTTGGAGCGTTTCACTCCTGAGTCTCCTCCTTGCGTCATCTCAGCACCAGGGAAGTGACTACGTATGCTGGTTTCAGGTCTTCGTCTGAGCTCACATAGACTTCTGTTGGATCAGTGTGTACTATTTTCACTTAATAACGGGACTGAAGGATCTTTTTGTGTGTCGCTGACACAAAACATTGTAGAGTGAGAGAATGCAAATGTCTGACAGACAAACCCTTCTGCTGCTCACGGTTCATGGACCTTTATTAGCACATTTTTTTTAGTTTTCATACCGCAATATTTTATTTATTTGTTTGTTTATTAAGATTGTGCTCCTGAGTCCATCTGTCTCACGGGGGAACTCCCTGCAGGAACCCTTGTGAAACACTTGCAGCAGCTTTAACATTTCTTTTAAACCTGGTTTTGTTATACTTCTTATACAGATAATGCAGATTTTTACAGAAGTTCTTAATTACTGCTGATATTTATAAAAGAAAGATAATGCAGTTAAAAAAAGAAATTCGATCCCCCCAAATTTTGTGTTACTTTTGTAAATGTGCTTTCATTTGGAATGGTAGTGCCTATTTGTTTGTTAACACTATTTACTCGTTAAACTCTGCAGAGAAAAACTACATCAAGGATAAACCACTTAACGCAGCTGAAACAATTATTAATATTCCCTCTAAACCACTGTTAAACCGGTTTTTAAAGGGACTTCACAGACTTTTGAATTTTTATGCTCGCGATTGCCCCCTCAGGCCAAAAGTGTAACGGCAGCTTCAATAGTAGGCTCGTGCACGAGGCGCGCTTGCTGTACGTGCACACTCCTTAACGAAAATAACAGCTGAGACAGTCCCGTGTGTGTGTGTGTGGGGGGGGGGGGGGGGGGGGGGCGGACAGAGGACAGGAGAACGCGCAGCTAATTAGTTAAATAATTTGGTTCTGTACCTTTCTCTTCAGCACAGCCGACAAAGGTTTATGATGGGTCAGTCCTCCTGCATGCTCAGATCATTCCCTTCCCTTGCTTGAAAAATTGTTCCAAAATGAAAGTTGAACCCACATCATTTTTATCTGTGAATTCAATGCCGTTCGGCGAATCTTAAATAAAAATGTGGGCATCTTACTGTAAAAAAATATACCATTAATGTAAAAAAGAAACTCTAAATGAACTATGTTCACACCCAGAATCAAACCCAGGTCTTCTGCATGAGAGTCAGACATCTTACAAGGTGAGCTACACTCTAGTAACATTTACTGCATCTTTAACTTTTATATCCTTGATGACACCAGAAACAACGTCAAACCAAAAAACGGTTCGGAGCGAAAATGGCTATTTTGTTGCTAATTTGCAGGAAATATCTAGAGGAAAGTAGCTAAGGGTCCTCAGAAATGTAGCTAGGTTCATCACTAGGCGTTAGGAACAGCGACAAAGTCACTGAGTTGGCACTGCCTCTCTCTCTGCTGCTAAAGCTACGGATAGCAAATGCTACAGGCTATGCCTGAGCGTGAACACGCATGAAGCAGCCTGCTCGACCCGAGCATCTCTCTTTTTCTGTGATTTTACAGAAAAACAGGCAATCACAGTAAAAATGCCAGGGCTCATTCTACAGGACCAGGGCATTGCAGGAGAATGTATGAAGAAGAAATGTATTATTTCTCTACATGTTTTTGGCTGTCAAACTTCCATAATGCACCTTTTATTAGTCACTAACGAAGTTTCAGCATGCTGTAACTCTAACGTGCGTTCCCAGTACTTCCCGGTTCACCAGGATGATGAGAAATACTCACTGCTGTATCTGGGTAGTGAGAGGGAAGCAGCATAGGATTCCTCCCTGTAGAAGCGTGAAATGTTGAAAAGGCCCCTCTGTTGGACCTGTTAGCTCCCCTACATTCTGTTAGTGGTTGGGTCACAGTCCAGTACCCCACACACACACACACACACACACACACACACACTCCACTGGTGGCTTTCTCACACACCTCTCTTCTAAATCGATTACTTGTCTCCCCCTGTCAGCCTCCTGGGGGTCTGCATTGACTCCAGCAGACCGATGAAGCGTTGGCAGCAGGCATACATATGATACAGAGTCTGCGAGGAAAGATGGAGAAATAAGCCTGCTGACAGTCACGTACACTCTACATGATTTGTGTCGTTCTTCAAACTATCTAGACTCTGTATATGACAGCAATGCAACCTCTCTGTCTTCATTTCTGAACTGGGTTTCTTTCTCTCTGTAGGCCTTGTGGAGGAACTTCTGAAAACACCGGTGGTAAGAATGGCTGGAGCAAGCTGGTCGTCATGGGAAACCTGGTCGAGCTGTTCTCAGAGTTGTGCCAAAGGCTACCGGACCCGTCGACGTAGCTGTGCCGGACCGGAGGGGAAGAGCGCCCCTGTGGCATGTCGCGGCTCTCCTGTGGAGTACCAGGACTGTAACGTTCAGGCATGTCCTGGTGAGTGGAGACACACCTGAACCCAACTCAGTGGCTTCCCTTAAGGCTCTTAGAATCCAACAAGTTTAGGATGGATCCTTTCTCTTTAAGGAGCTTGTTTCTCATCAGGGATGCATGTTTGTTTTAAGGAATGTGAGTCTTTACCAGAAAGGAGGGTGGACCCATGAATCAGGGCTTCATGTGCAGTAATGAAGGTGTCGCTTTGGTCTGCTGTAGTCAAAAAGAACCCTAAAACTCCATATTTACTTCTCAGTCTACATTCCAATGCTCATCTGTGGTCACAAGCTTTGTATCAGGACCACAACAACAAATTCCCAGATAATGGCAGCTTAGACAAGTCTCCTCTGTAGGAGGGTGACCTCAGGTTGACAGCTGAGATGGATCAGACTAGCTACCCTCTAGAGCAGCGGTTCCCAAACTTATTTAGCCGCGCACCCCCTTCTATGTCCCGACCATGTCAACGCACCCCGCAGCCCCCACATCAGGGCATGGACATATATATATATATATATATATATATATATATATATATATATATATATATATATATATATATATATATATATATATCAGACGTCAAGCTAAACAGTCACTCGACAGGCAGGGTTAAAAAAATATGATTGACCTTTTTCCCCATCACTTTCATTTTTTAAATAGTAATTAATAAACATTCGATACCATTACAATTTCCTTTGATTTAATTTTAAATAAATATTTAGAGTGCCCAGGTAGCACATAAACAATGCAATTTAATGTTTTTCTTAAAGTAGGAACGTTTAACCTGCGGCCAGAGCTCTCTCCTTCCTTCTGCTCTGCGTAAACCTGAACTGGCCACCTACTTGTGCGTAATCAAATGTCTATAGGGGGAAAAGATGGAAAAGCTATAGCCATGAGGTTCACTTTTGCCTCAGACCGACTTATTGCTGTTTTATGGTGTGGCTGAATCTGCGATCCGCTGCCACGCGGACTGGAATAACAAATGCTGCAGTAACATGAGTTGTAGTCAAGTTCGGAGTCACTGGCTGGAGCGGACTTGAACTTCATACGTCATCCCAAAATAGAAGCTAATATCTTAATTTGACCTTGACTGAAAAATGTTGTTATAAAACCTCTTAAAAGTTTATTTTATCACAGAGGAGGAAGCGCTCATTTCTGCCTTCAGTCTGTGCTTATTGAATCTGTGTTTGTGTTTGTGTGTGTGTGTGTGTGTGTGTGTGTGTGTGTGTGTGTGTGTGTGTGTGTGTGTGTGTGTGTGTGTGTGTGTGTGTGTGTGTGTGTGTGTGTGTGTGTGTGTGTGTGTGTGTGTGTGTGTGTGCGCGCACAGCACAGCTCCATGAGCCGCTCCAGTCACCTCGTCTCGTTATTGGTGCTATTTAATCCAATGCTGTAAAATTACTTCTGCCCAGCCCAGATGTGCTCACATGTGCACCCGTGAGCCGTGGTTCCGCTGGAACGTGTCTGACCTCTGACAGAAGCACTCTGAACTTCAGATGTTCAGCGCGCTGTTAATAGCCTGACACGTTTAGAATGCTGTCCCACAGTCAGTGTGCTAATATAATAATATAATAATGCTAAAATGCTCAGATGGGAATCATTTCTTGATTTATTTTGTTACATCCACATTGTTCTGTGTGTGAGGTTTACATGTCAGAACACCTGCATGAGACAGGGTGTTAATTACAATCTGCCAGAATGACTCACCACCTTCAGATTTCTCCAACACCGATAAAAATGATCAAATACGGAACATATCTTGCTATTGACAGCGTGTGCAGGCCAGAACGCTGAAGCTCGGCGCATCATTATTATGAAGCTAGGGCACATGCGGAGGACACACACACAAGCAAAATATATTTGTTTTCAATTGCATTTATTGTGCCCACTTACTTTTTCTTAGGCCCACCCACAAATTAGTTTCTGGCTACGCTAATGGTGACATATGACAGACTTCTCTGAGCTCCGCAGCCATTAAACTTTTCACCTCGCGCACCGCCTAGCGGCAGCTCTCGCACCCCTGAGGTGCGCGCACCACACTTAGGGAATCCCTGCTCTAGAGGTTTCTCAGGGAAACATCCCTCTGGAAGGAGGTCCTGGGACGGATGTCTTCTCTAACCTGGGAATTCTATGGGATTGATCAAAAGTGCTAATACATGGATGAGTTAGTGGAGGACTGACCTCATCCCAATACAATACCCAAGGTAGAACAAGGACATCTTGGCTTATGAATGCACTCCTGTGGATGGGCCAGTTCAGAGTAGATGTTAATTTTCATCTAAAGCAAATGTCCCAATAGTTTGGGCTCTATGCTGTATGTTGTCGTTGTCGTTGCCGTCTTCCTCTTCCTCCGCTTATCCGGGTCCGGGTCGCGGGGGCAGCATCCCAACTAGGGAGCTCCAGACCGTCCTCTCCCCGGCCACCTCCACCAGCTCCTCCGGCAGGACCCCAAGGTGTTACCAGACCAGATTGGAGATGTAACCTCTCCAACGTGTCCTGGGTCGACCCGGGGGCCTCCAGCCAGCAGGACATGCCCGAAACACCTCCCCAGGGAGGCGTCCAGGAGGCATCCTGACCAGATTTCCAAACCACCTCAACTGACTCCTTTCGATCCGGAGGAGCAGCGGTTCTACTCCGAGTCCCTCCCGAATGTCCGAGCTCCTCACCCTATCTCTAAGGCTGAGCCCGGCCACCCTACGGAGGAAACTCATTTCAGTCGCTTGTATCCGCGATCTCGTTCTTTCGGTCATTACCCAAAGCTCATGACCATAGGTGAGGATTGGGACGTAGATCGACCGGTAAATCGAGAGCCTGGCTTTCTGGCTCAGCTCCCTCTTCACCACGACAGATCGGCTCAACGTCCGCATCACTGCAGACGCCGAACCAATCCGCCTGTCGATCTACGCTGTATGGTGAAATGATTATCTCGGTTATAATGGAAATATTGGAATTTCGCCATTTATTATCCACCTCTTATTCCATTTCCTCGGTGATTTAGCATGTAGGATAAAATTAGGTTTGATCTGCCAAAGAAACGAAACGTAAACCGGCGTGCAGGCGGCGGCTCAGTTCTAACCTCCTCTGATTCATAAAGAAAAGATCAGATGAGGAGACAGAGTGAGGTCAGGGACAGCAGGAGAGGACTGGTGAGTGGACCGTTATCTTCATCTGCTAATGGTTACCAACAGCTGCCACGCTGCACAAGGAACATATTCAGTTATCTATTTCAGTCATGATCAAAGCATTTTCATCTGACTAGATCTCACACACACACACACACACACACACACACACACACACACTGATAGTTTATGAAATGATCTAACTCAAGTGGTGTGTCTGAATGTCAGCCGATGGATGCCGACTGAGGACGACCCAGATGGGAGGCCTTGTGTTCGTCTCAGCAGGAAGTAG